CATCAATGATGAGAGTCACTGATTGGCTGCCTCCTTTACGCCCCCTGCTGGGGATCGAGCCCAAAACTCAGGCATGTGCCGTGAGCTGGAATTGAACCATGACCTTCTGGTTCATAGGTCAACGCTCAACCACTGAGCCACTTTATGTGTAAAGTTAAACTCAAATGACTTAAGAAACTTTGACACAGAAAGGAAGCTTATTTCTTACCCATTAAAAATACCTGTTTTGTTAACTCTCGTATGTTAAATTATGACGTTTTAAAAAGTCATGTTTATAAAGGATTAGATTTGATTCCAAATTAATTTATTTTTAACTCTTAACAGCTGTCAGTTCTACTTCTCTGCCCATGGAGGTGAGAACAGCACCCTGTGTTGTCATTGTTGTCACCGCACCCCCCATTAGCTCATGGGAGTTTCTTAGAAATAAATGCCTGAGGGCTGAGTCGGGGAGATTGTATTGTTAGAAGGAGTGAGCTTACCTGTTTTCTAAAGGGGAAGTAAAATTAAACAAAGGAGGGCTTTCATTTGGAAGGGAAACATTTTCATTGGGTCAAACTCAGTCTTTGCAATTTACATTTAAAAGAGTTGGGTTTTTTTTCAATAGCAGGCTAGTCCCTCCTTTTTGCTGAAAAATGAGTTGTGAGTGACTTAATTTTTGGAGAAGGAACCAAAATAAATGTTTCACAAACCGTTTTTGAGATGTGGTTTCTTATAGTAGTTTCTCTAGCCAGTACTCTAGTAAGGCGAAGAGTTCTCAGAGGCCCTGCCCTGCCCCTTGACGGAGGTGTAGCCCGCGGCTACCTTCACGGTGCTGGCTCCTACAGCATCCGCAGTCCAGACAAGCTGGTGCACCAGCCCTGAGGTTGTGTTAGAGTGAATCCAAAGTGTCGGGGCTCCATCACCACCTCTTCGTGTTCAGTGTGGCATGTTTCTTCAGCTTCCCTAGTAAACAACTGTAGTTGGAGCTGATTAAATTGTGGTACTTAAATGGTCTCTTACTAGGGGCAGACATTAGAAATTAAGACGGCCCTTCGTGCTTTCTGAGGCCCACTGAAGAGCCGCTTTCATGATTTTTTAAAAGTGGTTTTGCGTTGTTCAAAGTAGCAGCACGTGGAGATTAAGAAACACTAATCCTCTGAAATGACTGTCTCTCCGTCTCAGGTGTTTAAGGACAATTGCTGCAAGAGGGAGATCCTGGCTCTTCAGATCTACTGTAGGAACGAAAGTCGAGGGTGTGTGGAGCAGCTACCCCTGGGACAACTGCTGGTCAGTACCCAGGTGGCACGGTGGGTGTGCACATGGGACACGAGCGTCCCTGGTCAGTGGGATGTGTACCCGAGGGCCGTGTTCGCATTAAGCTCTCAAAACACAGCCAGACGGGAGAGCAGTCAAAGCCCTTGGGTATGAATGTTCTTTCTGTGACATCATTAGCAGAATTCTCAGCTGGGTTTAAAAACCCTCCATTCAGAATGGAAGGAAATCTGTACTGAATTTTAATTTTGGGAGGCCCATTAAAATCTCTTTTCTTATTACCATGAAATTCCACATAACTTCTTGTGTGTGTGTGTGTTTTATTAGTATCATTTTATCCTCAAAGGATATTTGAATTAGAATAAAACAGAGTCTTGAGCAGATAACCATTTACTTACCCAGGAAGAGGAGCTGACTTAATTCTTCAGAGCACTGTAGTTTGAGTAACTACTGAACAGTGTGGGATTCAGTGCCTATCACTCTTCTCTGTGAAAACTGGCCTGATGGCAGATGGAAACGTTTCTATAGGGTTTGATTGCACGGAGGCTGAACTCTCATGTTTCTGGTGGAGTTTTCTGCAGATTAAGAGCTTTGAATTGTCTGTCTCCAGGTGCACTTGAAGAATGACTGCCAGTTCGAAGAACTTCCGTGTGTCCGTGCTGACTGCAAAGAAAGGGTCTTGAGAAAAGACCTGCGCGACCATGTTGAAAAAGCCTGTAAATACCGCGAGGCCACGTGCAGCCACTGCAAAAGCCAAGTCCCGATGATCACGTTACAGGTGCAGTATTGCGGCGTTTCACCTACCGTCTGCTTGGTCCAGATGTGCTCTGTCCACAGAATAGCTTTCAGATGACTATTCTGCAGGAATAAAGAGAAACGTGGGAGTAAACAGCCGTTTTCATCTGACTTCATTTCAGAGTTAAGCTTCGTTTTACCCACTTTCATTTACGTAATTACCATTTTCATTGCCTTGGCTGTCATTTGGGGGCGCCAAAAAAATGAAGACTGATTATTTAGAAGAGGTAAAATTTTTCACTTGTCCCAGGAAATGGCCTCAGAATCTTGCTTGTACGGCTCTGTGATAACCATCACGTCAGCAGGGTAGTTTATCCTGCAGCCTTGAAGTGCAGCTGTCTGTCTTACAGAGAGGTGAGAAGTCAGCGCTTTTTGGTACCTTGGTTATCTTGGCACTGCTCAGCCTCATGCATGTTGGAATCAGCTCCCTTACCTGTGAATTAAACAGGTGTTGGGGGCAGACGACAAACTTTAAAAACAGCCAGTGGTGTGGCGACCCTCAGAGTGGGTCCATTTGTTGAACAAAGATTTATTAAGTCCTGACTGCGTGCCAGGCACTGTCCTAGGATCTGAGGGTTTCGTGGTGAAGCCCACCTATGGGAAGAGAGCAGTGCCAGGAGAACACACAGTGTGTGGTAGTGAGTGATGCTGTGGAGAGCAGTGAACTGCATCCGGGGAGCAGGGTGGACAGGGCTGGCCTCTGACACAGCAACACTGTGCAAAAGCCTCAGCAGAGGAAGCAGTGAGGGAGCCCCACTCCAAGCTGGAGCTAACTGGGCAGGTGGATTGTAGGAACCACAGGAGGCTGACCAGAGGGTAGCCGTGAACTGGGGGTGACATTTCCGAGTTCCCCATTTCCTGCACTGCTCTGGCAGGTGTGACAGGTGGACAGGGTGGGGGTGGGGAGGCACGGCATTGGCCTGGATAAGGAGAGCAGGGAGAGGGAGGGGTTCTGGGGTAGTTTCAAAGGTAGAGCCAATGGGATTAGCTGATGGCACAAATATTCCCGGGAAATGAGCTCAGAGTGATGCCCAGCGTTTGTCACTAGATCAACTGGATCAGCTGGCGCGTCCCACAGAGGCCAGGCTTGTGGAGGGTAACAGGCTTAGGGGGAAGAGAGGATTGGTCCGGGCTACAGAGAGGTATTAGCAGATGGTCCTTGTAGCTATGGGACGGAACGAGTGGAGAGCCAGGGTCAGGGCAGAAGCCTGGGGTACCGGGGTGCTTGCAGACTGCTGAGGGGAGGTGGAGGGGAGGGGCTGTTGTCAGGATCAGGAGAGTGTGTCTGGGCCTCGCCTCGTGAGTTGGGTGAGAAGCAGGTGGGCAGATGCTGCTGGGAGGCCAAGCAGGGTGGGGCTGGGAATTGACTTCTGGACTCAGCAGGGTGATGACTGATGGGGTCACGGATGGGAGGGCACACGGAAGTGCAGCCAGGGGGGCAAAGGCCACAGCCGAATTCCTGGTGGACGTTCTGAAGCACTGACTGACCAGAATTCAGGAAGTTTTTGTTTTTCAGTATAAAATTGGGTGTACTCTATATAATCTCCATGTTTGCCGTACTTTACCTGTTTTATGCCTGTGCCTTTCTCCCATTGTGAAACCTGTTTCCTGTGTGATTCTGTAGATGTTTCCAGTTATTAAGAATTTGTAGGAACTGTGTCTCGCCCTTTGGAGAATAGCAGTCATCTTTGTCATAGCTGAATAATTCCTTTGGTAATTAAACTCAAATGAATGAGACCTGTACCTAATGAGCAACACTCCCGGCCTTACACACCTTGGTATGTTGCTGTCTGACTCCTACTTTGCTTCTTGAGAGAATCAATTACCTCTATTTGCAGAACAGAATCAGTAATTAATTTTCATTTGAGAAGGAATTGTGGAGTGTGTCAATTAAACACCATGTCAGGAACCGACTCTGAACTCCAGACGAGGCCGTGCAGAGGCCGGTTTTAGAATGACATAGCATACAGATTCACGAGACGTTCGAGTGCCTGATGGGCTCCAGATCCCAAGCTGGTTGCTCAGGACACACGGACTGCAGCCTGTCCCCCTCACGTCACTGTCACTGTGGCAAGAATCAGGCAGCAGGAGGAAGGTCTGGCTTGCTCAGCCTGATGGGGCCGCGAGGGCTTCAGTACCCAGGTAGCATTTGATTTGATCCAGATCTTAAATTTGTCGGCTGCAAAAAGGTGAGAGTCACAACAGGTGTAGAAGCACAAAATGGTCATCAGCAAGTTTAGGGCCTGGGTTGTGCACGTAAAGGCTCCATGAAGTCTTATTGCACTCCTGTGACAGGCTGCCTTAGTGGTGCTGGCACTGGAGGGTGTGAATGCCTGTGCGGCGAGCTGTCGGGGCCTGTCATTGCATGAGGAACACCTGTGCTCGGTCCCCTTCAGGCCCGGGGAGCTTGAAACTAGCAGGCCAGTTGCAAGCTCACCTCTTCACACACCTGCCCACCATGGTCCGGTATGATTCCCAGTCTTGTTCTTTCCACCCTAATCACGCTGCTTCCTCTTCCTAGGCCTTCACTGTTTATACAGAGGGCAGGGTCTGACTTCTGCATACTCAAGCCCAGCTCTTCCAACCTTCCTGAGGTTCCCATGTCTGTGTTAGGTCTGCATGTCAGTGCCAGTAGTATAGGTGGTAAAGCCCAACACTGTGGACCATGCACCTTATTGGGAATTGCTCTTGTGTTTAGACTGGTGTTGACGCTGTGTGCGCTGATCTGCAGGTCAACATAATCTTACGTTTAGTTCAGAAACGATTGGACATCGGTCTCTATAAGCAGCTGTGTTCACTTGCGAGAAGTCAGAATAACGAAGATTTCATTGTACGTAGAATGTACATCGTAATGGGAGGTACAGGCACTTTGGAAAACGATTAGGCAGAACATTCCTGTGCTTGGTTAATTAGCATCTCCTCCGCTAGCTGGGCAGGAGACGCTGTCACTCACACACACACACAGCCAGAGCAGCAGGAGCCTGGGAACAGCCCAAGTGTCCGTTCTGTGGAAGTGGACACGTCAGTTGTGGGAGCCCCAGTGGACCATGTGACACAGTGGGGACACTTGTGTGACCGCATTGTTATGCACCTGTGAACGGTGAGGACCTGCAACCCTGTGCAGCACACGATTAGCCCGAGACACCTAACGCCAAGCAGGTCATAGATGACTCCCAGGGTAGAATTCTGTTTTCATAAAATCCAAAAGTGATCAGAACAAAAGAATATCTTGTCTGGCACAAACACATGTGTAATGAAACTGTTTTTAAGCAAAGGGACTAGAAACAGTTCAGGTCTGTGGTTTTGGTGGAGGGATGAGATGGGACAGGAGCACACGGGTCAGTGGAGGTCCTCGCCACGTGGTCCTGCTTACAGCTTACCATGCGTCACATCTGCTCTGTGCATATCAAGGATGCGTTTAATTTACAGACGGGCTGACCTCGATGTGCAGGGTTCTGGCACCTATAGGTGAGCAGCTCTTTAAGGGTGTGCCGCTGTTACAAGGGACCACGTAGTTGGCTTTTAAAGCAACAGGAGTTTATTCTCCAGCAGCTCTGGAGACTGGAAATCCAAAGCCAAGCTGTGGTCAGGCCGTGCTTTCTCTGAAGACTCCTGAGAAGAGCATTCCTCACCCCCAGCCTTGGGTGGGTGGGGTGCCCCTGAGTGCTCGCTGGCTGGCAGCCACATCGCAGGTCTGCCTCACATTCTCATGGTCGTCCTCCCACCACGTCTTCTCCTCGTGTCAGGACCCTCCCTGATCCTGTGTGCCCTCATCTTAACCTTACATTTGCGTAGACCCTACTTCTAACTAAGGCCACGTCCAGAGGTTCTGGATGTACACAACTTGGGGGGAGGGGTCACTGTCCAACTCACTGAAATGGGCAAAAGCCAAGAAAAGGCAAGTCACAGGAAATATAAATGATTAATATCAAAAACATGCTTAACCACACACTGTGAAAGAATCTCAAATCACGTCGCTGCCAGTCTGGCTTGTCACTACCAGAGACTGGGCAGGCTGATGGAATTGACAGGGCAGGAGCTTGCCCTCTCGGTAATGAGCATGTGGGGGTCACAGGAGGGCAGTTGGCAGTATCTGTCAAAATCCCATTTAACGTACCTTTACCTTCGATATCCAGCAAAACCTACTTTAGAAATCTGTCATCAGGTACTTGTGCACAGGTCTGCAAAGATGCACAACAGAGATGTGATTGTTTGGCCCCTCTGGCCCCTGGCCTCCTCTCCCCCACCCCCTCTCCTGCCCTCCCCAGAACACTGCC